GCCTGTCCCCACCCCTCAATCCACAAAGCACTGCCCCCCACCGGAATCCCCTCCCGTCCCTCCCCGTCCAGCAGAGCCTCCATCTCTCAAGATGCATTTGAGGGTCTTCCTTCCACAAAGGGTCCTCTCGTGGTCTTGCGGCCTCAGAACCCCAGGACTCTCCCTGCTCCCTGCAGCACAGTGACTAGCCCCCTCCCCAGGGTCCTACCCCACTGGATCCAGGGCACCTGGTGGGAACTAGCGCAGGGAAGGAAGGCGGGGGCTGGCCTCGGAGGCGGGTGTGGGAGCAGACATGGTCCCCCACCCTTATCGGGGTTACTCCCCAGCAGCCCCACAGGGAAGCAGCCACCTGTGTGTCCCCCTTCCCCAGCCCACTGGGCTGGACAGGACTGCTCTTTCAAGGAGAGGTCTGTGTGGCCCTCCCCTACCCTGAATGCCCACCCCACCTCCAGTCTCTGCAAGAAGCAGGTGGCCCCCCCGGGCTGGTCCAGAGGGGCGTGTCTGCTCCCCTTCTGTGATCCTCTTTGTGGAGCAGTTTCTGTGCTGGCCACCTCCCCATGGAGGCCTCCAGCCCCAGCTCCACGGGTGGCATCGGGCTGGCTTCAGGTGATGGGGCTCGGGAGACTCTGTGTTTGCTGGTGAAGGTGGACGGGACAGCGGAGGGCTCAGGCGAGTGGAGGAGATGTTTGCCACGTGCAGAGAGCGTTCGAGACGCCCGGGAACCAGCGCACCCGTGGGCCCACGGCCTGGAGCCCGTGCAGACCGAGGCAAGAAGGGTCTGTGTTTTGCATCCTCCACCCAGCAAGTGGGCGTCTCCAGCCCACAGGGCCAAGTTCTCACTCCATCCAGAGCCTGCTTGAAATGCAGAAAGATGTAGCAAGTTTGCACGCCCACGGAACCTGCCCATGACTTCCCGGCACTGGCCACCATTTATGCAAAGAATAACAGAAGGAAAGGGGGAGATGGGTGAGCCGAAACTTTCTCCCCTCAGTCCTTCCTCAGCCACAAGCTGAAGGGAACAACTGTAGGTAAAACTCGTGGACCAAGGAGTGACAAAAAGCGACCACGGTGCTAGCTCTGTGCGGCGCTTCTGGTTTCCAGCAACGATGAAATAACGCGTGAGTGCCCCCCGCAGAGCCGGACGGCGTCATTTTGGTGACTCTGCATAGAAGTTAACGCTCTTACCTCTGCATTCAAGACTGGCGTCGCACAGTCTTAATGAATAAAAATGCATGCTAGTAACTTACATCATTAATTTTTCTTTACTTAGAACGGTATTAAACAGCAAATTTAAACACCCTAAGTCAAGACATAGACCATGGATAAAAGGAAAAACTATATAGTTCAGCACTGTTAACATCACTTTTTCCCCATTTTTGAACAAGGGGGCCTCAGTTTCATCTGGCCTCACGGACCTGGGCCAGGCAGGAGCTGGCATGTGGGTTCATTTGCTTCAGAGGCAGACTGACAGGTGAGGTGCCCTGCTCAACCCGAAGCCAAAGCCAGAAAGAGCAGAAACACGTCGCCTTCTGAGTGGGCGCTGCGGGTTCCTCCCAGAGGCGGTGGGGCTGCCCTGGGATGGGCAGGGACCACTGAGGACCCGGCTTTGACTGTGGGACTGGCCTATCCCAATGGGGACCCACGTCACAGTGTCTCTAGCATGAAACAGGCGACAGCTCTGAGGTCAGCACCACAGCTGCCTTTCAGAGACGCAGCTCAGAGATGCTGAGCGAGCTGGGCAACACCCGGGACCCCTGCTGCTGCCCCCGGGCCGGCACGTCCCCCAAGGGCCAGGCCGCACCGGTGTCTCCTGCGAGAACACCGGCTCATGAAGGCAGGGTTTCCCTTGGGCACTTTGCACCTTGAACAGAGAAGGTGCCCGATAAAGGTTTCAGAATGAGTGGGTGCGGGACCCCGGCCAGCCAGATCGGGCAAGCCTAGATGTGTGGCCTCTGTCCGGGGCGGCCCTGGGCCAGCCGAGCCCCCAGCATGAGTGGCCTGGGGGGATACATCCATTCTCTGATTGGGGAGTTTCAGCCACAGAGACACATGGGGACTACAAAGCAGATCTCTGTGGGGCACCTGCTGTCACAAATACACAAGGCGATGTCCTGACCCAGTAGCAAAATCCCCCATGGCCAGGCTCTGGTCACCCGGACTGTGCCTCCCCCTCCCACCCGCCCCAGCCCTGCCTGATCCACAGTCCTTGTAGATTTCTCCAGCCCATCCAGCTTCAGCCCAAGGCCAAAGTCAACATTCCCGCCCCCCGCACTCCACAGACTGGGGTCCCCAGGGGTCCCCAGCCTAACTCGATCACCCAGCCCCTGGTCACCTTCTGTCTGGAATTGGCTTCCAGGGCTGGACCACAGGTCCCAGGGAAGACCAGCTGCCCCCACAGCGGAGCCGAGGGCTGGGGTGGGGTACTGTGCAGATGTGGGTGCGGATCAGAACACTGGGCTGCAGAGGTGTCCTCCCCAGGACAGCCCGCAGGCAGCCCGCCCTCCCGGGACGTGGGCACTGCAGGGACTTGGGAATGAAGTCATGCCAGCTTCAAATCCCGAGAACCCCCACCTCAAGCTCTACAACCCAGGCACCTGCCCTTCCAGGTCCGCTGCTTCCCATTCTGCAAACGGGCAGGATGGCGCTTGGGAAATGATACCTGGCGGGGACTCCTAACGAGGGTGGCACACCTGTCGTCCTGCCTGATCACCAGCCACAGCCCTTGCTTGTCCCTGTGTAGACAGTGATACGGTCACCACACGTGTGTCCTCACGGGACGCAGCGCACAGACACAGCACCGCCTCTGAAGTGCAGGAACCAAAGACTAAACTGGAATCCGATCACACGTCTGCTTCTGACCCCCGCCCCCACCCCCAATTACAGAAGACACAGGGACAGACATTCAGTAAGGAACACGCAGAGTGGAGCCATCAGCCACGCCGCACCAAGAATGAGCTGTTTCCTCCGTAAAGGGTTGGGTGCTCACAAGAGGTTTCACAGACCCATGAGGCAAATTCCAGGTGTGGCTCTGGGTCCTCCTTCTATAAAACCGACTGTAAAAAGCAGAGGCAACCAGAGGGCTGCGCCACCGGCTGGGAGTCTGAGCAAACGATGGAGCTATTGTTCATTTGCCGGGAGCAGGGTATGGGGGTTTCCCTCGGAGGCGCACACGGAGAATTTCCAGGTGAAACTGTATGATGCCTGAGACCTGCTTCAGAGCCATGTGGGGACAGCGGGGTGGGGTGGGCCGGAGCCCCGTGTTAGCAGTTTTTGATACCCGGTGATGGGAGCTTCTGGGAAGCTTCTCCAGGGTCTGGCAGGCCCATCGTTGACTGGATGGGATGCCCTACGCCTGACTCAGTGGTGCTGCTTGGGGGTCAGAGGCTGTGTGCCCGGCTAGAATGTGGGCTTCGTGAGCAGAGTTTTCCTTGGGCACTGATGCATCCCAAGTGCCTGACAGGTCCTGGTACAGAGATGTCCAGTATAAATTCTAGAACTTTTGCCTACATTTGAATATTTCCATGATTAAAAACAGGAAAACAAGAATGGCGGCTGTCATCCTTGGCAGTTTCGCCAACCATGTGCCGGCCCCAGCCCCTCAGCCCGCCTCCCCCGTGTTCCCCCACCTCCCCAAACCCACGTGTGGTCCCATCCTGCCCACCACCACTCCACGTCCTAGTGCCCTGGGGTCAAGGTAAGGAGTCCCGGGAGAGCCCAGATCCGGTGACGCGGGAGGGTCGCTAACAGGGTGTGGACCCCTGGGCGAGGGCTGTGGGGTGGCCCATGCTGGGTGGCCATGTCTCGTGCCTCCGTCAGTGCCTTGGACGAGGACAGCTCACGTGGCCCTGCAGCCCCAAGCCACAGCTTCTCGGCTGAGCCCTGCTAAGCTGAAGCTGCATCAGACCCACGACCCCGTCGCCATGGTTACCCGGGAGCCATCTACTCTCTGCCAACGCCAGCCGCTCCCCCCTCCCAGGGTTCCAACGGCTTTGACCCAACCACTCCCTGCTGGAGGAAGGGGTGCCTTCAGCACCCTAAAGCAGCTTGGGGGATCCCCATCAGCCCCACCCCCACCACCGCAATAAAAGAGCTTTGGGCACAGTGAAACTTCAAAGCTGCCGAGATCCCGGTCAAAGGTAGAGCTGAGTAATCACCTGCGGGCCCTCTGGGCTCGGGGAGCCTGGGGGGGGTTACTTGTTCCTCTCAGGGGAGGCTCTCACAGCCCCCACCAGCAAACAGAAGCGGGCAGGGCCCAGCACACGTGGCCCGGGAGCCATAGGCCCAGCCACTGACAGCTGAGTACCAGGCGCTGAACACTGCCAGGCACCTCTCCTTAAGTTCTCCCATGGCCCTGTAGGGTGGCTCTGCCTTCACCTCCATTTGCAAATTGAGCTACTTGCCCATGGTCACCGGCTGGGCACTGGAGATCTGAACCCAGCAGCACAGATCTGGAGACAGAGGTTGGCTGGTGCCCACAAGTCAGACCACCTCTGGCCCAGCCCTACACCCGGCACTTGCCCCAGATCCCTGTGCTGGTCAGCAGCCTCCGGATCTCAGCTTCCCAGTCCTGTCTGGACTACCCACCTGCCTGCTGCCACCAGCCGGAAGCTCCTAGCCTCACGGTGCCTATGAATTGCTTTGGCACAGCAGCCTCACACCTCCCAGCACACCCTACAGAGGAAGGAGCAGAGTCCAGGGAGAAGTGACCACAGAGGCCAGGCCTGCTGAGTCCTAAGCTGCCACCCCTCAACCTGCGCCAGCCCTCACCTGGGAAATAGGGGGCCTCGGGGTATGGAGAGGACACCCCAACACCACTGGTACACAGCACGGATTTATTTATACAATCCACCTTCCCTAAAACAGGTTTTCTGACACAGGTCTCTCCCCAGCAGGCCTTGCTGCAAGAGGACACCCACCGAGGACACCCCCCCTGGAACCCGAACCCCCACCCCCACCAGGGCTGCAGCGTGCCCAGGTTCAAGAATTCCAGGACGAGGGAGTGGGGCGGGGGTAGACAAGCTTTATTGTGTTCCAAATCTAAGGGTTCTTTGTACAAAAATAACTCTTCATATTGCCAATGTCCCTAGGCAGTTCAAGTGTACGGGTTAAAACGGATTGTCTGTGTCCTCACAAAATTCTCTCCCCTTCAAACCTCCGGGTGTTGCTGCGCATCCCCACTCCGGTGGAAGGCCTCTGGGGGCAGGGTGGCTGGGGTCCAAGGAAGCTGCCGCCCGGATGAGGTCAGGCAGACCGGCTTCCACACTAGCCCTCGGTCGGGCTGGACGGCCAGAACGCGCCGGCGGGATCCCCGGCTCGGCAGTGGCTCGGCCCGCGGGGATGGCGGGGACCGAGCCGCGGACCAGTCCAATGCGCTGGCTCCCAGTAGGGCCGCTGAGAGGGAAGGAATGACAGGCGCTGGTGTTAGTGCGGGACCCAGCCCTGGAAACCCCGCCCAGCCCGGCCCTGCCCTCCACCTCCCACAAGCGGAGTCGGCAGTTTCGTTTGCTCGGTTGATTTTGGAGCTCGGGCCCGTGGGTGCCTCGGCTTTGGTGCGCGGCCCGAGCCAGGACTCGGGGCGGGGCGGCGCGCTGGGCCGCAGTGAGTCAGGCCTCCGCACCCGCCGACTCATTTCTGCCACCCGGCCGGGCGCGCGATTTGCAATGCAAAGTTACTCCGCCTCCAAGCGCCCTAATCTGCCCGGGGATCCGCACGCACTCGGGGCCTCACCCGCCCGAGGGCCGCCCCCCTCCATCTCCCCCGCTCCCCCTCAGGCGCCGGAGCAGCGAGGGGAAGTTTTGCAATCCCGGACAAACAAACGCTGGTCGTGCACAGGCTTGAAAGCTTTGGGGGAAATGAAAAGTGAGCGAAATCGAGGCCCTCGCCGAGGCCTGGCACTGGGCTCCGCTGGAGAGAGTTGCGGGACCGTCCGTTCCACCGCGCCGGGCCGCCCTGCCTCCGACCCTCCCGCCTCCCCGCCGGAGGTGCTTACCTCGCGAGGCGGAGCGCTCAGTAGCCCCCTAACCAGCTGGAGAAGTCGAGCAGCTCGCGCTCCGCAGGGCTCAGAGCGCCCTCACAGCTGCTGTCGTCCGATGAG